CTGCCCCCCCTGGAGATCTGGAGCAGCCTTGGATCAGCCATGATTTAGGTGTTGTAGTAATTGTAGCCTTCATAGCCTGGTAGGAAATGATACAAAGTTAAAGAATGGTTTGGGTTGGTAGGATCTCAAAGACCATCCAGTCCCACCCCCACCACGGGCAGGGACACCTCCCAGCAGCCCAGGTTGCTCCAAGCCCCATCCAACCTGCCCTTGGACACTTCCAGGGATGGGGCAGCCACAGCTTCCCTGGCCCAGGCTCTCCCCACCCTCCCAGACAAGAATTTCCTCCTTGGGTCCAACCTCCAGCTCCCTCTGCCAGTTTCAAGCCATCCCTCCTGGTCCCATCACTCCTGCCCTTGGCCCAAGTTCCTCCCCAGCTTTCCTGGAGCCCCTTCAGGCACTGGAAGCTGCTCCAGGGTCTCCCCGGAGGCTTCTCCTCTCCAGGCTCAACTCTCCCAGCCTGTCTCCAGAGCAGAGCTGCTCCAGCCCCAGGATCATCTCCGAGGCCTCCTCTGGATAATCTCTAACAGCTCCATGTCCTTCCCATGTTCAGGACCCCAGAACTGCCTCCAGTTCTCCAGGGGGTCTCACCAGAGCAGAGGGGACAACCCCCTCCCTGGCCCTGCTGCCCGCGCTGCTGGTGACACAGCCCAGGACATGGGGGGTTTCTAGGCTCCAGCACATGGTGCCAGCCCATGTGGAGCTTCTCCTCACCCAACACCCCCAAGTCCTTCTCCTCAGGGCTCCTCTCCATCCATTCTCCACCCAACCCAGGCCTCTGCTGGGATTGTCCCCACCCAGGTGCAGGACCTTGCCCTTGACCTTGTTGGAAACTTCCCAAAACACAGCATTTGAGGAGAAAGTTACAGATGTCTCCAACATTGCTGTGTTGTCCCCTCCCCAGGGCTCTGTAGCCCACCTCCCTCTGCCGAGTAGGGACTAATTACTGGACTCGTTAGTTCATTGAGGACACAGTCTCATTGTGGTTCTTTTGTCCCCCTGCCCAGGCCATGATGGAACAGTCCAAGAAGTCGTCGCTGGTAGTGGCGCGGAGCATCCTTAACAACAAAGTGATCAGCAAGAAGCTGGAGAGGTACCTGAAGGTGGGTGTTGGTGGGACTGAGCTTTCAGGCTGCAGGAATGTCCTGGGAGCAGCTCTTGGCTGCTGAGAGGGGTTTTTAGCTGGAGTTTGGGGTGTTTTGTTAATATTTTGAGTTCCTGGTGGTTGGTCATGGAGTCTTTGGAGCAGGTGGATTCATTGGGTTGACCTGCTGGGGAGCAGCTCTGGGGACAAGGACCTGGGGGTCCTGGGGGACAACAGGGTGACCCTGAGGCAGCAACGGGCCCTGGTGGCCAAGAGGGCCCCTGGGCTCCTGGGGGGCACCAAGGAGAGTGTGGGCAGGAGGGCAGGGAGGTTCTCCTGCCCCTCTGGTGAGGGCCCACCTGGAGAAGAGGGTCCAGGGCTGGGCTCCCCAGAAGGACAAGGAGCTGCTGGAGAGGGGACAGCAAAGGCCACCAAGGGGCTGAGGGGACTGGAGCATCTGGCCCGTGAGGAAAGGCTGAGGGAGCTGGGGCTGTGGAGCTGGAGAGGAGGAGCCTGAGGGGGGGTCTCCTCAAGGCTGCTCCAGATCTCCAGGGGGGCAGGAGGGGGGGACCAGGCTCTTCTCAGCAGTGCCCAGGGCCAGGACAAGGGGCCATGGGCAGCAGCTGGAACATGGGAAGTTGCAGCTCCCCAGGAGGAGGAAGTTGTTTCCTGGGAGGGTGGCAGAGCCCTGGGCCAGGCTGCCCAGAGAGGCTGTGGAGTCTCCTGCTCTGGAGACATTCCCAGCCCAGCTGGTTCCTGTGGGATCTGCTGGAGGTGACCCTGCTCTCCAGGGGTTGGCACTGGGTGATCTCCAGGGGTCCTTTCCAGCCCCCACCACTCTGTGACTCTGGGATCTGTTGTCTCCCACCCCATGTTCTACCAAACCCTGAACAAGCAGGATGAGCAAGGCCTGCAGCTTCACCTTAGGCTGGAGACCCAACCCTTGAGCTGTCACCACCAGTGGTGGCCTTGATCTGACTTCTCCAGGTGGTCTCTTTTCTCAGGAGCTCCTCCCTTGGCTGCTTTCCCTGCAGCCCCAAGGCTGAACTTCATAGTATCATGGAATGGTTTGGGTTGGAAGGGACTTTTAAAGTTCATCTAGATCCAACCCCCACCATGGGCAGGGACACCTCCCAGCAGCCCAGGTTGCTCCAAACCCCATCCAACCTGCCCTTGACTTCTTAGGAGGGTTTCCTGGCTCAGTTTCTCCAAGCAGGGAAAAAGAAACTCACCACAGACAAATGTTTGTCTTCACATTCCAGGGTGAGAATCCTTTCACAGATGACCCAGAAGAAAAAGAGGAACATGAGGAAGGAGAAGGAGGAACCACTGGAAATGTAGAAGAAGGAGAAGCAGAAGGAGCTGATGAAAACAAGGATGAGGAGGAAAATGGGGAAGAAGAAAATCCTGAGGAGGCAAATCCAGAAAAGGAAAACGTGGAAGAAGAAAATCCAGGGGGGGGAAACCAAGATGAGGAAAATAAGGATCCAGAAGGAGCTGAAAGTGAGGGAGAAAGAGGAGAAACAGGGACAGAAGTTGAGGCACAAGCACCAAGAGAGACAGAGACTAGGGAAGAGCAGGAATCCCTCCCACAGGGAGAGGAGCAGCAGCCAGTGGAAAGTGTGGAGGTGGCAGATGAGGAGGAGGCTGAAGAAACTGTTGCAGCACAAGAAGATGAGGATGTGGAGTAAACTCTGGAGGGGAAAACTGCTGGGGAAAAACCTGATGGATTTTGTTGGTTGTTGGTTGTTTTCTTTGAGAAAAAAGCCCCATAACTGTGAATTTCCAAGCACACACTTTCAGTTCTCACTCTCCTCAGCCCCCTGAGGCAGGAGAAGCCTTTACCTGTCAAGTGGTTTATTATTTTGGGGGGGGAAAATAGAGATTTTCCATGTTTGTTTGTTGTTGTTTTTTACCAACCCTTCATTTCAGTGGGTAGGATTGGGGTGGTCTCTTGTTTCTTAGGTGGCTTCGTGCCAGGAGAGTTTCCTTTGGAGCAAAGCAGAGCGACTTCATCCCGCAAACAAAACCTTCTCCCCTCCAATGGCAACATCTCCATATTTAAGGAGGTTGTGGTTCCTCCCTCTCTGTCTGGAGACACCACAAATTGGGTCCCACAGTTGAATTTCACAACTTCCATGTTGACCCCATGACTCCCTCCCCCCCCCAGTGTTTTGTGGAGAGAATCTCGGTGGTGTCACGTTGTGTTTGTGCTTTGGTTTGGAGGTGAATGTTGTGATGAATGGAGATAAAAGGTCTATGCTGAGATGATCCCTGCCTCTGCCTGAATTTCTGGTGTCCTGGGAGAGGCTGGAGCTTTGGATCCAGCCTGGAAAGTCCTGGTTTATTCCTGGGGTTCAGCTCGGCTCGACGGAGCCGCCTGGCCGGGCTGGCACTAAACTCTTGGTGGAAGCTCAGTGGTTGGTCTTCACCTGGAGCACAGATTCTCCTTCCTGAATTGAAGGAGAAAGAAGGAATTCTGTTGCCATGACACTGCAGAGGTTATTCCTGGCATGGAGAGGGGCAGCTGGGAGCTTTCCTGCTGGATGGGTTGATGGGGGAGGATGTGCTTGGCCAGGAATCACCAACGTGAGGCCCCATCCAGGCTCCCAGACCTTCTCCAGCTTCTCCAACTGGGGGTAAAATGTTGGGATGAGGGAGTTTTCCCCCAGCAGAAAGGGAGATTTCAGCATTAACTTGAGGACAAAGTGGTGGGACTGCTCCTGACCTCCACCCTTCCCTCCAGCCTGGATCCATCAAGTCTTCTAGGATTGCAAGAACAGAGGAGATGAGCTCCAGGGAGATCCTTTATCCAGGAAAACACCCAGCTCAGGTCTTGATTCCTGATCCTGGCCTTGCCCACTTCCCACCCTGGTGGTGAACCCCTCTCCTGCAGAAACACACCGCAAAATTAGTCCTGGAAGTGTTTTGTTTACCAACCATATTTAATATCCTGAGTCACTAAATACCTCATGGGGGCTCCAAGGAGTTTGGGTCGTTATCTCCTGGGGGTGTAGCTGGGTCTTGAAGTGGATCCTCAAGGTGTTGGGTGTCCAGGGGGTTGGCTGCCACTGGGTCCCACCTTTTCCCTGGGCCTTTTGGGTGGTTTTGGAGTGTTTCAGGGCATCAAGCTCAGGTCAGGCCTTGGTGAGCTCAGAGCTGTGTCGCCGCCACCAATAACCCAAGTGGGGGTCTTGGGGGAGGTGCTGGTGGCACCTTGGGGTGCCAGGGCTGGGGTTTGAAGGCTGTGAAGGGTGGGAGGGGTTGGAAAGCTGCCTCCAAAGTGTCCTCATCCTATGGGTTTTGAGGGCAGGCAGGCAGCTTGCTGCCATCCTCTGCTCGGGTCCAGCCTCTGCCAAGAAAAGTCTGGGTTGTGTCTCCTCCTTTCAGAGTTGCTGGATTTTCCTCCTGGCTCAGCAGAGCTTGGTGGTGATGCCCAGTTTTTTCTCCTGCTTTTCTTCTCTGGGAAACTCCCCCTCACCCTGGATCTGGTCCCATTCTGATGGGAGCAGCTGGGCTGGGCTGAAGGGTTGAACCCATGTCTGGCAGCGTTTCGGGGATTGTTGCTTTAACTGGGGTGGATTTTTAAGGAAATCCCTTTTGATTTAAGGTTTATTTCAGAAAACTGATTCCTTCCTCAGGGTGGGCTCCATGAGCCAGCCAGTCAAACTCCACCTTGATGAGTAGCACAGTGAGTTCCTTCTGCCTTCCCCTTTCCCACCTTCTTTCCCTCCTTCCTGTTCTCCCAGTCTCTCCAAGACTGCAATGAACTGGGAGAAGAGGCCCCATCAAAGGGTGCAGGGGAGTTTGTTCATTGTGCTGCTTCCCAGCTGGAGTTTTGGAAGAAGACTCTTCCTGTTCAGTTCCTCCTGTCCCCTTTGGCTCTTTCCAGAGGTGTTGGTGCCACCGAAACACCTGCAGAACTTCCAGCAGAGATCAGGCCATGGGGTTTGACCTGGTTGCTCCACTGGTTCCTCCTCAAGGGGAGGAAAATCATCAGTATGGAAGGACAATTTGTAATTAATTCCCTTTAATTGGGGTCAGTGGGAGGGTTTCCTTGGTGTTCTTGAAGTTGGGGTTGGAAGAACAGCTCATCTCCTCATGGCAGAATCCAGCAGAGCTGAACTTGGATCCCTTCAACAACTACTTTTCAGCTCAATTAACAGGTTAATTATCAGGCACATGGTGTGTTTTGGACCCTCGCTGTGCTGTTCTGCCAGGTTTTCAACCTTCTGCTGAGGGACTGGTTGTCCCCAGCCCTTCCCCTGGACTTTGAGCTCCCTGTTCCCTTCCAAAGGCCAAGGAGTGAGTCCTTCTCCAGAGGTGGCTCCGTGCTTTGTGTTTGGGGTCAAACCCCCTGAATTTGGTGCAGATCCAGAAACTCCTGGTGCTCAGAAGCAGAGTTACAGGTTCCAGGGCTCCCTGCTCCTCTGGGATGCAGGCAGTGAACTCCAAACATCTGCCACCAGTTAATTAGCTGTGCTAATTAAACCCCCCTGGCAGTGCTTGAAGAGGATAGACCTTGGTCTGCCCATGATCCACAGGAACATCCAAGCTCCTCATCCATCCCTGAAGATGCCACCAACTCTGAGCATGTGAGGAGAAGAAGCAGGAACCAGTGGGGAGGGAATTCCATGGGTGCCCCAAATCCATGGGAATGTTTTCTCTGAGGATGCTGCTGGGATGGACAGGAGGTGAGATGGGGTGAAACATTCACCCCCACCAGGGTGGGTTTTGGATGCTGTTGCTTTTCCCCCAGGAAAAGGGAGCTGAATTCTTTCCTCCCTCCCTCCTGACACCTGGATCCCCTCTGGATTTATTGGAGAACGCTTAATTAAGCACCACAATTCCAATTAATGCAGCTCAGCATTTCCCCCAGAGCACTCTCATGCCCACAACAGCTGCTGTGGTGCCCTTGCAGCTGGGAGCAGAATCCACCTGGATTTTCTGCCCAGATCCCAGTTCCTGCCAAAGCTCTTGGGTATTTTATCCTGTTAATTAATAATTCTAATTATTAGAACCACCTGCACCACTCTCAACTCCTTCCCCATCACTCCTGAGCCTGCCCCTCTCCTCTGAAATGGTGTTTTTGTAGCACCCAACCAAGGATCCAGGGAGGAAACAGCAGGAAAAATCCCAAGGGAAGAAACTGCAGGTTTTGGGATGAGTTCTGGGATGAGTTTTAGGAGCACAATCCCCTCTCCTGGCAGGAATTCCTGTGGATTTACCTGGCCTTGTAGCTCTGCCATCATCTTGGGGTTCCCAAGGAGCCTCAGAGGGGAGTTTTGGGGTGTTGGATCTTCCCAGGGTGTCTCCCAGTCTCCAGCCACGAAGGGATGGTTGGGAGGGTCATTTATTTCTTCTTTTGAGGTGAGAAACACACAAAACTTTAAAGGGTGTGACATTGAGGACTTGTTTGTGGAATTGGCAAAATCATTTGGTCTGAATGTTGCCAGGCTAGAAATCCCTGAGGATTTCCTGAAGATCATGGAAGTATTCTGGGAGTCTCCAGTCAAAGTGCTGACGTGGCCGCTGGTTATTAACGGGCTCTTCAATCTTCCCTGTTTCCTTCTAGAATGGGGAAATTAATTTATCTCAGCTCCAATCACTGCCTGCTGTGAGAATTCCCAGGTTTAGGGCAAGATTTCCTTTAGGTGCCTCCAAACCCACCTTCCCCAGCCCAGAGGGGGGGATTTATTCAGCCCCTCTGTCCAAAATCCCTGGGCTTCTCCTCACTGGGCTCTCTATTCCTTAATTCCCTCCCCTAACTCTGTTAAAAACCATTCTCAGCCTCTTCTTTTGTCATTCTGGCACCTGAGGGGCTGCAATAAACCCCTCTGGGAGCTTTTCTTTCCCCACTACTCAAGCCATCTCATAGGTGCTTCAACTCCTTCTCCATCCCATGTTTTTAGGAGTTGTGGCCACAAAACTGGGAACATAAAATGAAATCCTGCAGCAGCACCAACTGCAGAAGGTTGGTTGTTCTTCCTGCATCTCCTCACTCTGGGATTGCTTGGTGTTTAAGTGGATTAAAATAATAATTAAAGCAGAAAGCAACAACAAAAATAATCCCTGGAGCCACAGACGTGGCTGAGGCACAACCTGGGGGTGTCTGGGGGAACAGGGTGATGCCCTCTCTGTTTCTACCCTCCAAAACATGGGTATGATGACCTGATGTGGCCAATTTTCCTTGTTCTCCAACTGGAAAAGCAGCTTTTCTCTTTGTTCCATGTCTTTTTTTTTTGCTTCAAGCTCCCCTGATGGAGCCTTTCCCAAGGTCAGGCATCTTTTCCTTGCCAGGAGAAGGTTCAGTCTGTCCCAGGCAGAGCTGAGCTGCCCCCACCCTCCACATCATTTATAGCCATTTAGGTCAGAAATTGAAATAAAAGTCTCTTTGAGCTCCTTGTCCTTTGGTTCAGGTGACAGAGGCAGGAAGGGTGTGGAGCCCAAGGAGCCCTTGGGGCAGTGGGGGCTGCACTTGGGGGTCCCCTCGTCTCTCCTCAAACATTCCCTCCCACAGCCTGGTTGTTTTTAAGCTGCTTTCATCCACTTTGGGGCAAAACCTGAGCAAAACCCACCATCTGGGTAGGATGAAGCTTTTGCAGCTGCTGCTCCTCAGCTCCGGGGTCCCTGAGGTGGGGGTAGGGGGACACCCTCAGTCTGGGGGGCTCTGTGTCATGACCCTGGGGTT